ATTATTATTATTATTATTATTATTATTATTATTATTATTATTATTATTACTATTATTATTATTATTATTATTATTATTATTATTATTATTATTATTGTTATTATTATTATTACCTATTGTTATTGTTATTATTATTATTATTATTATTATTATTATTATTATTATTATTATTATCATTGCTATTGTTATTATTATTATTATTATTATTGTTGTTATTATTATTGTTATTATTATCATCATTATTATTACTATTATTATTATCATTATTATTATTGCTATTATTATTATAACTATTATTATTACTATCATTCCCTTTTTACCATCGCTATTAGTATTGTCGTTGCTGTTATCACTATTATCAACTGCCATTACCAATAATTATTACTGTTATTAAGAATAGTATTCCAGTACGAAAAATAGAAGGAAGAAAAAGGTACAATGAGTGGACGCATTATACTCCAAATCACAATTGAAAATACAATCTCGACTACTGAAATAGTTTAAATTAAACTCATCTTTGTTTCATATCAAAAATATCTCAACAACCTGGCAGATTTGTTGGAAATTTCCGGAATGTTTAGTATAATAGACAATTAGCGATACAATTCATTGGATAATGATAATAGTAAAAATTTAAAATAATGATAATAATAGTAACGATACTATTCATAATAATAAAATTAGTGATATCATTAGGAAAAGGAAATAATTCTTGAAAAATAATCCATGGGCATGATTGTTTTATGGGATTTACAAGTAATAGAATTAATAACTAAGAGAAAAAGATGTTGATAACAATATCACTCAAATCCTAATAAGATAAAAGATAAGAAGGATAAGAGGGGAAAAAGAGCAGGGGAATGATGGAGAGTGAGAGAGGTAGAGCAAATGAAAAATAATTTTAAAAAAAAATAGTTACGAATTGAAATTTGAACCTTTTAGGAAGGGAAAAATTTTTGTACAATGAAATATTAAAGCACAAATAAGCAATGGATGAAAAAGGGAAGGAAGAATTGATGGAAATAGGCAAACCAATCAGGGAAACAGATGACGTTAAGGCATTTTGTTTGCTTTTATCCGTTTTCCATCCCCTACTTAGGCACTACTCTTTCTCTATCCATCTTCTCTCCTATTCTTGGATATTTCTCCATCCTTTTCTATCCTGATTACAGGCCTATAGAAGAACCAATCCTTCCATCGATCACACTGTGGTACTTATGCTTAATGCTACTCTCTCTCTGCTTATTTCTCATTCTGAACCAATAATGTGGAGTAATCCCTTTATGTAGGTGGATGTATGGGTGTATGTGTGCTTTTTAGAGCCGAAAATTCTCAAATAGACAGTTTTCTAAACCAATAATGCGGAGTAATCCCTTTATGTAGGTGGATGTGTGGGTGTATGTGGGTATATGTATGCTTTTCAATGCCAAAAATTCTCAAATAGTATTCTAAACCAATAATGTGGAGTAATTCCTTTGTGTTGGTGGATGTGTGGGTGTATCTATGCTTTTTAGTGCCCAAAATTCTCTGATAGACAGTTTTCTAAACCAATAATGTAGGTGGATGTGTGGGTGTATGTGGGTGCTTTTCAATGCCAAGAATTCTCAAATATTATTTTTACATTTCATTTATTATTTTATCTGATATCAGTTTTTTTCCCACCCACACCTTCATTTCCCTTCTTTTGTTTTCATTTTTTAGTGGAACTTTCCTTTTTACTTTCTACTATGAAAAGATACTGCTATGAAAGTTATTGATGGAAGATTACGTACGGTCTTACTTGCCAATAATACGGAAAATAAGGTGAAAATAACAAAGGCATATTTGTCAAGTAACCCGAAGCAGTTTTCTACGATTTAGTTACGGCTCATATTGATTGGTAATATTTAAATTTCCCCTCCTTTAGCTATCTACATACGGTAGTAGACAAAAAAACCCATTATGACAGTGCCTTATCTACTACTGTATCATCTGGGAATTGTATTGTAAATCTCTTTTGTTGACGTTATCTATCCTTCTTAGACATTGTATATCCCTCCCATTTGTCTATTAACGACTCATCATCCAAAATTGTTTTCGCTTTATTTGACATGTCGCTTCGTTCATATCAGTGATTCATGAACTTCTTCATTTCATCGCTTCCCTTATCTAGCCTATCTTCTAGGTTACAACTTCCAAACGTATTATTTTCAATTGATTTCGTATTAATTACCGACCTTGTCGTGAAATAGTAAAGACTGCCAGATAATTTATTTGCCGAACTCAGTGG